GCCGGCAGTGGGGTCCCGCCCAGCAACCCCGAGGGTCTCCGGTCCCCGGCGGCCCGGGGCGCGCGGCTGCTGGGTGACAGCGCGGCTCCTCCGAGCCCCGGGCGCTGCGCAGAGACCCCGCCGGGCCGCGCGGCGCTCGCTCCGGCTCTTTGTTATGCTAATTCCCCTTCCCAGCTGGTGCCAGCTGCCTGCACAATGAGCGCCCCGAGCCCTCGCCCGTCCTCGCCAGCCAGGGAGTGGGGGCGGGGTGGTGTGTGTGGGGGCGGTGGCGGGGGCGGTGCTCGGCGACCTGCGCTCTGGATCCCAGCTTGGCCCAGCCTGGCGGGGTGGTGAGCCGCCCCCCGCCCACCCCACCCCAACTCCTAAGCGGCTCCCCGCTTCCCCGCGTCCTCCCCTCCCCCACGCTTGCAGGGCCGCGCCCTTCGGGGCCTGCCGGGCATCCACTGATTCATTCCAGTCGCCCCGGCTGCCGCCTCCAGGTGCCAGGGCTGGATGAAAAGTAAAAGGCTCCTCAGCGGCTCGAGAGCCGTGTGGATGAAAGGGAAGCAGCCGCCTCCCAGACCACACAGCTAATCCTCCCATAAACCTCGAGCAAATAAGGGGAGAGGAAGAACAGGCCGGCTACAGATGTGGAGCCTCCGGGGATCCCCAAATTAAAACTCGAGCAGGGGAAGCACTTGGACCACCACCAAATGACACTAATTGGGTTATGGGCCCATAATCTTGGCTCATATAAAAAACAACAACAACAACCCAACAACAGTTACAGTCACAGCTGCAAGGGCTGTCTTCATAAAAAGAAGGGGGAAAGTCCGCTATTTTATTACTCGTAAACACGAGAGAGAAGAGGGTTCTCGGATCTCCTGCCTGCGTAGTGCTGGCAGGCTGGTTGCTTGAAGGGAAGGACAATCTTTGCACCAGGCGGAGCGGCGCTGTGCTTGGCTGGCTGCGAGTGTGTGGAGCTAATGGGGCCGGGGCGGGGGGGTGGGGGGAGCGGGGGAGACCTCTCCGGGAAGGGGGAGGGTACGCACTCTGAGACGCCGCGGGGGAGCGTGGCGTATCTGCAGGAATGTATTTCAGGCAATTGGTTAGCAGCCATATGCAGAAAACAATCATCTGGACCGGAAAACTCAAGAGATTTATTCTTCAAGAAACATCCCAAAGCAATGTCTTGGGTTCACGGGGCGGGGAGGCGAATAATAAGGGCATCCTGGGGAAGGAAAGGAAGAAGTGAGCCGGTACAAAATTCTAGTGAAAATCTTCGGAAAGCTCTCTGGTTGTTTTGAGTCCCTGATGTTAAGGCCAGAAGAGACCCATCTTAGAGGCCCTTTGAGGGCAGCCTCATCATTTGACAGATGGGAAATTAAGACCCAGAAAAGTTAGGGTATTATAGATGGTTAGACAGCTAGTGGGTAGTAGAGGGAGTAGTTAATGCCAGGCAAGAACCTGTCCCCTAACTCCTAATCTAGAGCGCTCAACATTGAGTTGGTTATCATTTTATGGTTGAGAAACAACAGCAGTCATTTGATCAGAAACCAGTGCAAGAGGCTGTAAGAAAACAAGTTACACCATTTTAGAATGATTGAGTTAAATCTTGTCTGCTCCGTAGTGACGCTAAGAACTGGAAGTCAATCAGTTCTTGCAAATTCCATCGCAGGGTTCTTCCGAGCCTTTATCATCTATTCATTCATCTGTAACAACGCCCGGATGGTCCTATGGCCCCAAGATTTCCTTATGGGTCCTTCCTGTGCGGGACTAGTACCATTTCCAGAGAGAAAGATACATGCCCCCAACCGCATGCTCCACGTCCCTTGCACATTGTCATCTGGGCTAAAAGCAACTAGGTGAAGGCTGGACTAGTTAAGAATTCTAATTGATCCTACCTTAGTGGTAGGAATCCTACTAACTGAAAAACTGAAAATCTCCTCCAGCTGCTGAGTTGCCGAGCATGGGGAGAACAGGAGTCTGGAGCTGGCCGGCCTGGATCTCCCTGGGGAGGTTACAGTGTCCTGCTTCTCCCACTGCCCGCCTCCACCCATGCCCGTCTCAGCTGTTCGCTGGCTCAAATGACAGCTACTGGTGTCGCCCATGAGATCCTAGAGCCCGGTTGGGTAGAAGAAGAATCTGTCCCAGAGAAGCTCTGGAGCCATCATAACAGAACACTGCATTTTCTCTCATTCTGGCACCAGCTTGTCAAACCATATGGTCCAGTTTTTGCGGTCATTTCAGTCCTAACCATCAACAAGCATCACTACAGGTATACCTGACCTTTTGGGAAAATATATACTCTTGGAACATTGAGAGAGAGAGAAATGTAATTTTTTAAATGAAATCCTACTTTAAGTCATCAGTTAAGACTCTGAATTTATAGACAACATAGGGAAAATATGAGATTTTGAAGTAGGGACAAGCACTCCTTAGCAGAACTCTTTAAACTTAGGTCTCGTAAGTGGAAACTTTCATAGTTTTTTTATAACTACTTTGAGGCCACATCCTCAACATTATAATTATACAGAAAATTCTGCTTTGGCCTCCATGATCAGATATAGGACCATGAGGAATAATGCTTGGTCTGTTAATAAATCTATTTACTCAATACTGTATTTTTTTCTGAGTAAAAATCAGGTCTAAGAGAATCATTCAATATAGTGATTGGATAAACTTGATCTTCGGCAAATCCTAAGGTTGAGTCAGAGGTTAGTGGTTTTTAATCTTTTCATTTGTAAAGGATACCTCTTACTCCTTTCACATAGCCAGTGTTCCAAAAGATTCTATCCTCAAAATAAATAGTATTTATTAAAGATAATGCCTTCATGTTTTGAGTTTCTTCCCAATCTGATCTGTGTTAACTCAGAGATGATTTAATTCTAACCAAAGGTAAAGAAATCTGACAAGGTACAGAAATGTGACTATTTCCTGCACAATTGCTTATTAGAAACTTTATGATTTCTAATAAGCTTTTGAAATATTAAAAGTATCTCAGGAACACCAATGACTACTTTCATAGCTGTCTAAGGGTCCTGGGTTCACAGGTTTGACTGGTTTGACACCATTTAATTTCAAATTTGCTGTACAGAATCCAGGAGGCAGAATACTTTCCCCAAAGAGGATCTGATGCTGTCACCTCTAGCCTTCAAGGGATCCAGGCACATTACTGGAAAAGTTATGGAGGCTCACTACTATTTTACATCCATAATGTATGCCCAGGCAAAGTCAAGTCACTTCCCTAATATTAAAGTCTTGAATCCTGACAACCTGACAAGGTGAGTACAGCATGCTACCCCATTTTACAGACAAGAAAAGTGAGGCACTAGGAAGTGGCTTGCTGGTCAAGGCCAAGTTTCCACATTGCATTACATTGGCAGAGCTGGAATTTGTGTTCAGGGAGTTTGACTGCAAATCCCACTCTCTTAGACCTGTGCTACATTCCAGCTTCATGAGAAACCCACAACCCCTGTGCCCAAAAGGAACAGGAGAGATGAGCCAATGCCTATACCTACTCACAAAGACAGTTTGGTGGGTTGTTTGAAAAGCACAGCATCTACAGACTTGAACAACAACAATGAGAACCCCTCCCAGCTCCCTGAAAGGACAGACAAGCCATTTCTCTCTTCTTGGAAAAACACATTAAAGAAACCCTTTAGTCCCTGAAATGGTTTTTCCTGTCTTTATGAAGACGTTTGCCCCCCCCCCCCCCAATTGCCTTCTTTCCTTTTTAATCTTTGGACTGCTCCTTAAACAAATTGAACACACTCAGTGCATGCAGAGAGCTGCACTCCTCAGACTGCGTCCCCTCCACCCTATCAGAGATCAACTCCCCAACCTGTGGCTTAAATCTCTTGCCTTGCTGCCTGTCATTCTCCATCTTTTCCTTATTATGCAGACAGGGGTGGTATGAGTTTTGAGGATGGTATAGATGCCAGGGCGCCTGGGTCAGGTGTATTTCAGAGATCTGCACACTTCTAGATGGCCAGAATACAAGGGCTATGTCACATTTGAACTGAATTGAGCTTAGCACATTGCAGTTGTCTCAGAAGACATCTGCAGAAAAGCACCTGTCTAGAAATATCTAGATCTTTCTAGCACATGTCTAGAACTATCCAGACTGGGTTCAGGTGTAAGCAGACCAATCAGACAGTGTCGTGGAGAATCACACCTGCTGCCTGGACTCAGCTGCTCCCATGAAATGGCCTGGATGGTGGCAATGTCTGTTGAAAGCCATCCCCCCTCCCCAAGGTTCTGCTATTTACCCACTGTCTTGGGATCTCAGCAAGGTCGCAACCTGCATCTCTGCAAGTTCTTTTCTGTGTGTGTTCTCCCCCCAAGATATGGCATTTTATAAGGTTTCATAACTTCAAATCTAGGCAATAGTTGCCTCGAAAGGCGTTGAGAAATATGGGAAATTTCATGAGAAATGACTAATTTCATCTCCGTACGTTCCATCAGTTTCACTGCGGTCAAAAGCAGGTGTTTCCAGGCTGTGAATAAGTGGTTTGCATTTTAAAAATTAACAAATTGGACCAACACCAAGGGAAAAAAAAACAGCCATAGACAGCCCACCAGAGAATTGTTTACCAAAGAAGAAGAATCTCATGTGATGGTTTGCAAACACCACCAGACTAGCTTGTGTAAATTCCCTTCGTTTAGTCATCGCTCTTCAGCCTGTCACAGACAGTGAAGGGAAATGCAGAAACAGGAAATTACAGACTATTTTAAACAGCATGTTTTATTAAACTCACTTGCTGATGCACTTTATGGCAGGATGCGAGATTCAAGTGTTCATAACTTACATCTTTGCAAGTGTTTTTCCTAAGTGAATTCTCCCAGCTAAAATATGGCAAGTACGCAGGGCTGGAAACAATCTCTAAACTAGTAACTGTTTCACCTCAGGTTATGTAGCTACATCACATAAAATGGAGACATTTTAGCCAAGGGAAGAGACTATACGTTGCTTATTCGCTATACTATAACTCTAAGAAAGCACCAGAGGCATCGTGTAGTTCATTTAAAAGATCCTTAATGCATTTATTTTAAACCACAGAATCAAAACACAACAATCTTAAAATGAATTCCTAGAAAACATATATTGTCTCTTTTATTATTTAAATATTGATTTCATTCTTACCTTCATGGGACATTTCTGCATCTAGTTTAAACCATCGTTATTAACGCCATGCCAAATCCTTGTTTTTGAAAAGGCCTAGTAAAACTGGCAGCAATGTGATTTCCCTACAAATGCAATGACTACAAATTTCAGGGGCTGTCATAAAAATGGATTTGAACAACTAATTATTTTCAGAAACGTTTTCTGCTCATGGTTTGTTTGAGGGATATAAAAGCTTAGCTGCACTGCAAACGTCCTCATATCCCTGTCTGATATTTACTGTGAGTTTGACACCTCTTAACACCCATGTTTTCTGCAAGTTGTTCTTGGCTCTCCATAAACAGAGAGTAAGTACTCAAGAAAAGCTGTAACACGCGTTCACGATTGGTGGGGCGGGTAGCCATGCTTGGATGAAGTTGTCTATGAGCTCTAAAAGCAAAGACCTTCCATTCACTTGCTTCAGCATCTATGTAACAAAGTAGCAGTTAAGAAGTTCAACATCTCCATTGTCTTCAAAGATCAGGCCAAAGATGCTTGACCCTAATTATTGATTGCTGTCAACTAGTCATTTATTTTCACCTGGTTTAAGTTTTTTCCTATTTTCCCCCCAGGTTCCTGTCCTTAACAATCTTATCCCTAGGACCCCTTCAAGGTGAACTATAGAATAACAGGATTTTAAGAATCGAAGCATAAGATGATGATACCTTTGCCCTTTTAAAGGGCCTTTGCCAGGCTCTCATCTATAAATCACCCAGTTGAAGAGAGGAAGGACCAGAGGGGGAGGTTAATGATTTGGTTAAAGACATGCACTTAGGTGCCTAGGGGAGTAGCAATTAAAGGCATACTTGGGGAGCTGGGCCGTTTTCTTGAGAGAAGATTTCCCCTCATTTAAATTTTAAAAGTCTGGATTCTGGCCCTATGAGATTTTCCTTAAAGCAAAGAAAGCAGAGTAATAAGAAAAGGTGTTATTTCCAGGTAGAGAGACAGCAGTGTGGTGTGGAGGGCGGTCTTAGCTTTTCCCATCTCTGAGGATATAACTAGAGAACCCAATTCATAGGCTTAACTTACAATGAAGGAGAACCTTGTCCACCCAGGAAAATCTAACTTAATATCTCTTGAGTAGATATTACACAGGAGGCCATAATGCTTTTCTAACAACACTAGGAACATTTTTGGTATTTGGATGGATGTTTAGGGTTTATTTTTTCTTTAAAGAAAATGTATTCCTTTAAGTATGCTGGAACTGTCCTACAGTCAAAAACTTGATTACGAACTATGATGTATTTTAATGCTGCTGGATTCCAAGGCAGGCCTCATCCTTCAGAGAAGTACTAGTGGGTTCTCTGGAAAATCACCAACTCCATCATTTCACAGCTTTGGCCACCATTATCTGGTAAGGCTTGCAGGGGCAGGGGGGAGGGTGTGGGGAGGTTAACAAAAGTCCTTTCTTTCATATTCAAATTTCCGTGATGTAGCATGCTCATAATAAGAATGCTACTTTTGGCAAATTACTTTCCAACTAGCTTGCCCACTCCCTTTAAAAAGATATTTTTGGCAGCACCAGGTGGCATGCAGGGTCTGAGTTCCCCCACCAGGGACTGAACCCTCAGCCCTGCAATGGAAGCACAGAGTCTTAACCACTGGACCACCAGGGAAGCTCCAAGCTCACCTCTTTTATCAAATGAAATGTTAGCCTCTAAGAATAACAATAATACAGAATTAAATGGAATGCCTCCACAGCTGTTTTAACTTTATATATGACAACTGTCGATTGACAATCTGACAATTCAAAAGGAATCAGTTAGGATTCAGTATTTATGACTTCATATTATGCTGTTTTTTTCAGAAACTTCACAAAAGCCAAAAAAACTTCAGACCATTTAAGGTAAAACCTTATCCATCACCAACCACATTATTTATTAACACTATGCTCTTCAATCAACAGAAATCTAAACCTACAAACTAGGACCGTTCTACAACACCTGTTGGATGGGCCTCTCAAAAAGCACTCTCTAACTCTGAAAAAGCCTATGGGGTCACTGTCCATGACAATTTCTAGCCACTTTCGAGTTTGTTTTTTAAAGAAGAAATGAGAAACGGAAAAGAGAAACAGCCAAGTCATTAAAATACGAAAATCTGAATGAATTTTGATCATTTTAATAAATATATATCCAGAAAACCTCACTTTATTACAACACATTCATATACAAGCATCTATCATCTAAGTTTTCAACATCAAATGTTTATCAAATATTGAAAATAAAGGACAAAACATCACTAGACTATTCAGCCATAACACAAGAACGGGTTTTAAAAATTGGTCCTTGTGGACATTGTCCAAATGACGATCCTACTCATACACTGTATGAATGAGACCTATATTTAATATTAATAGCAATAATTAAAAAAGCTTTATCTTGGAGAAACTGGGAGGACTTACTTATTTCCTCCATTTGGAATCTGGTTCCTGTGAAGTATTGTGTAAGGAGGCCCAAGTCAGTCAGTAACCTTGGAAATGGGAATAGAGTTTAGCAGGAGGAATTGGCTGGCATGGAAGGAAGGATGGTCAGAGGGGCCCCTCTGAACACTCTTGCCAATGTACATATGAAAAAAACGACTGAGAAAAATGTTGGCCAAATACATAGGAGCTTTTGCCGACTGAGTCCCATTTCTCCAAAATAACTTTCCCCAAACGAAAATCTTTACATTCTTTAAGATAAAACCTTATTGATCACCACATCATGTATTAACATTGTGCTTCGTAATCAACAGCAAAAGTCATATATAAAAAACCACATGCTTTTATAATCTAAACGAGTGAAATGATGCAAAACAGATTAAAGTATGATGCATGCTACTGGTTCATGAACTTCATTGGACAAGAAAACAAAACAGAACAACCCAAAACCCAGAAAACCCAAACCCCAGCAACAGACCGTTGCCACAGAAAAGCTTGAGCAGCTAAGTGCTGGTCCCTAACAGCTCTCTCTATTGTGTCCTCCATCCCTTTCGAAAAATGCCAAATCCAAAAGCAACTGGGCATCAAAAAATAAAGGAAGAACAGAGATGCTGAATCAAAAGTTGAACGCAATAGTTCGACGTTAAAGATTTCCAAACAATATTGATCCACCCTGTTTGTATTTTTTTTTCCTGTTTGTTAAATCCCTGCTGTACTCTGATTTATCCTTAATTTTCACATTGGCAAAAATTAAGATAAAGTAAGGCACCAAAAATCGCCCTGTATAACACCTTTCTAAAAGCCTCATCACCCATCACAGGCAAGCCAGGAACTGGCAGGGATCACCCTCTACTTGTATCGTTGATTGTTGCCCCTAGTCAGCTGTTTCATTACCTCCTATCCTATTTCATCTGTCACACAAGACGGTTGAATCCAAATATTTAACAGCACCAGGAAGCCATTTCTCCTAGCTCCCTGTCCTCAGTCTTTTATTCAGAAGAAAAATACTGTATCATAGAGAAGCAGCAGACCTCCTTTGCTGGTTATATCAACTTGCTTACCAAATAACTACCTAATAAACTGGCAAACAGGTGGAAGGTTCATCGCCAGTGACAGGCTCCTTGCAGGTCGTGGAAATAGCACAAGGGCATGATGTCCCCCAGTCTAATCTGCTGATCTTCTCGGTAAGAAAACTAAGATATACGTTTAAGTGTTAAGTCAACTGTCTTCTTGGTAACGTCACCACATTTATGAGTAGCTCGCCGATGCCTACAATACAGATGTTTTATGCAATCTGCTCTCCAGGCAGTTAAACGACATGGCATGTTCATGGCATAATTGTATCAGTTGTACAAAACTATAAAATCCATTCAAAATAAAATTTATGAGAGCTAACTGATCATGCTGTGCATGCTTCAAAGTTTGCGTGAGAAGATGGCTCATATTTTACTTCCTTTGCTACAGCACAGCTTGTTACTCGGTGAAGGCTCCTTTTTCCTCAAGGACTTTTTCCAAGACTCACTTAAGCTGCTTTTTTCATTATATCCAGTCTCAAAATAATCATAAAATTGGCCTTTGCCCTCAAACGCAAGGTCATTGCCCACAGGTCCATGGCTCAGGGGGCCACCATCCCTGTTGGTATCATCATTTACTTTCTCATCATTTAATTTGGCCTTTTCCTGAACACCAAGTGACCGGACGTTAGTAACAAAGATTTCACTGGCAGGGATCTGGCCATCACCCTTGTAAACAGGTGTGCTGCCTATATCAAAATCCACCTGGTGGGAACAGCTCGGTAAAGGCAGAGGGGGAGAGGAAGAGGAAGACGAGGAGGGGGAGGAAGAGGAGGCAGAGGTGGAGGCACTTCCGACATTAGCGTTGACCGAGAGGGGTAAATTTAGGTAGTGACCACCACATTCCTGGTACAAGCAGCAGGCATGAAATTTTTCACACTCCTCTTTGGCCATTCGAGGTCGTTTCCGGTAAGGACAGTCTTGAGCCATAAACCACTCCTGGGCAGAGGTGCCATTGAAAGAGCAGGCAGGAAAGCACCAGTTATTCTGCATGATAATTTCGCCATGGATCCTTTTCATCAGATTGTTTATAAGGACAGATCTTCGGAGGTACACTTCAGGATCATCGATAAACTTTAGCTTTTCTAAGGACATATAAAGGATGTGGGCTCGCTCCTCAAAGATTGAGATGGTCTAAAAATCAAAAAGGGAAGAGAAAACTTAGGAGGTGGCCTTTATTAAAATATTATCCCAGCACATTTCTCCCTTGGCAGTTTCTGGGCCTGGGGATGCTGTGGTCTGGTTTCCCTTGGGTTCATTTAGAGATGCTCTCCTGGGGGCTGCTAACATCTCCCCTTCCCAGCAGACTGGCTGGTGATGTTGAGCACTGGGGAATCCAGCCACAATGCAGACTTCAGCAGGGACAGGTCAGGATGTCCGCTCTTTTATGGTGAGGGGGATGGCGAAATGCACAAAATTAACCTATGCTGTTAGAAGTAAGGAGGGGGCTTCTTTGGAGAGCTGAGAAATGGTGACCAGAGAAGGACAGGGGCACCCTCTAAGTTGCTGGTTACGTTGTTTCTTTATCTGGATGCCAGTTACATGGCTATTTCACACTTTGTGAAATTCATCAAGCTGGGCCCTTATGACACTTGGGCCTTAATGTGCATGCTAAGTCGCTTCAGTCCTGTCTGACTCTGTGCGTCCCTGTGGACTCTTTGCAACCCTCTGGACCATAGCCCGCCAGGCTCCTCTGTCCATGGGATTCTCCGGGCAAGAATACTGGAGTGGGTTGCCATGCCCTCCTCCAGGGGATCTTCCTGACCCAGGGATCGAACCTGTGTCACTTATGTCTCCTGCATGGACAAGCGGGCTCTTTACCAGTAGCGCCACCTGGGAAACTCTGGGCCTTTATGTGTGTGTATACAAATATACATGCACACACACATACTCATCTATTCTATGTCAATAAATGCTTTTTAGAAGATGCCAAGTTGCAGGTCATCATAAGTATATTTCAAGCCCTGGGTGAGACATCAAGGAGCATGAACTCATGCTGCCTGTGCTGTTTTTCTGGGTTTCATTCTTGCAATTATCTTTGCCTGATAGAGGGACAAAAATAAAGAGGCTCAAACCCTAAAGGGAGCTGCTGGTTGCAGGGACAAAGTAGGCTTTTTCTGGAACTAGGTAGGAGAAGAGGTGCAGAGAGGAAATCGGAGGACTCACTCCCAGGCTGTGCAATGCCATTACTGTGTGATGGTTGGCACAGACGGGCAGCAGTCTGGAAAACTGCTACAGCCACAACTCAGAAACCAAAATGGACCTCAAATGCTTCTGTCCTGGGGCCCAGCTCTTCCAGGTCATTAAAAAAAAAAAAGCTAACCTCAGGAGCTGTGAATTAAACCAGCCCAAGCTGACCAAAGGCAGGAACTACACATACACGGAAAAGCCCAGCACCTGCCAATGCATGCTGATGTCCTCTTATGAGCAGGGTCAGAGCAACATCTAAAGGCTGGGGGTGGGGGGGGGGCGGGGCGGAGGAGATGGAGTGAGAAGAGGGGAAGATGAATTAGAAAAAAAATTAAACATCCTCTCTGCATTGCAAACACCTACGGCCTGGGTTATCCTCTCCTCGATTAAGTTAGCAGATAGTTTTTGAAAGAAGGTAACCATAGGAAAAGGAACTGGTATTTCAAAAGCTTAGACAGCCGGTTTTAGACTTCTGGGTGCTTTCCCGATCCTGGCATTTCCTTCTTATTCACACACAAAAAAGTTAGCTTTGGTTTTTCTCCTGGGAATGTATTATGTATTTCCATAAACAAAACATATGTTATGAATGCACCATGAAGGACACTTCTACTTTCATGCACACATTCAAAGGCTAGGGAGTCCACTTCGGAGAGGTCAGGGAAAACCCTGGGTGTGGGCACACAGGTGACATTGGCCATGGGAGCCTGAGCTCAGAGACAGGGAGCAGGTCTGGAAAGAACAAGTGCATGTGAAAGCACCAGTCACCATGAACCCTTAACGCAATTTGAGAAAAATGAAATCATTAGTAAAAAAAAAAAAGGCATTCCTTGGATTATATAATTCTGTTATTTCTGGACAGAGGAGTTCTTGCTGGCTCTCTCTTCAAATACTTGTGAAAAATAACACAGGACCCCAAAAAGTGACAACGATTAATACGGCCCTGCTGAGAAGCGGCTCATTTTCATTGCTTGGGTGGAACAATTTAATTTCTGGAAATGGATCAAGCAACTGTTACTAAGTATCTTAAACTCTTAATAAAAATAATGACTATTAAAAAAACATACTTTATGGCTACAGCTGCTGAGTGGTGGGTGAAAATCCTCTTCTTCCACATACTTCCTCTTAAAGTATGTGATCTTGGATGTTGTTATAGGATTTGAAATTCCCCTGTAATGTGATCCTGTGGTAATAAATCAGATATGACAAATGACATGCGGTTTGCCAGAGGTTCTCCAAACAAAATGCTTTTCTTTCCTTTCCTTCTAGAAGATAACTTGGCTACGTATTTGTCTGTACATGTGGTGATTAAAAACAAACATTAATCTTAATAGTTGCTATCATGAGGAATCCTGTGACCCAGGCCAGGCAAGGATTTCTAGACAATTATAGAGGAAAATGACATATTTTAGCATTTACAAAATATTCAGAATTGTAATTCTATGCACAGGCAAACAGCAAAATTCAAAAAGGGAAGTAATGTAATAACTGAAATAATATTAGTATTTATCCAAATTATTTAAATTCATAATAACACCATTTTTCAAACAAATGTATCTTTAACTGTAAGCACTAATAACTGAGCAACTTTTAAATATTACTGGCTCTCAGTAAGTAAACAAATGACTATCTACACACTGGAGTTATAATATTCCTTGTTTCAAAACATGAAATTCAAATTTTTTTCATTTAAAATTAAACTTCAGGGCAACAAAAGTTCTCTTTGCTCTCAAAAATCCAACATATCAACCATGAATAAAAATAAGGTCTAATTTTCAAAGACCAAGCTTTTACTGCTTTTTAGCAAATCAGACATCACCAAGCACTTGTTTTCATTTTAGGTTTTTGGCTTTTTTTCCAATCTAGTAGCACACAAAAATCCAAAGGAACTCACTTAGGTGAGTATAGGAATAATGAATCCGGGAGAACATATTTTTTTCTGGGCTTACAAATTTTTTTACCTATAATACCAAAGCCAATTGTGTGCTTAATAAAAAGAAGAGCCACACAGCTGCTGGCCCAAAGGGCACATTCCTTTATGTCTCACGGGATAAAGATTTCATTGTCAAGCCCACCCAGGGCTTGTATAGCACTGAGACCCGTACAGTCCTAGGGGTTAGAAAATCGAATTGAAGAGTTTCAAGATCTGCTTTGGGTCTCTTAAAAATACAAATGCCTGACTTTTACCTGAAGCAGCAGCACGGGGAAACTCAGGTCTGCATGCGATTAACATCACCTCTGGTCCTTTCCTTGGGGCCTTCGAGTCCCCGGAGCACTCTCAGCTCAGAAGGGCACCCCAGACACCACCCTCATCTACCAGTCTGGCCACAGAGGGCGGCAGAGAAAGGTCAAAGGCTGTACCTGCCAGTGGGGGGCCGGCTCCCCGGTCTCCCTGCAGGGGAGCCTGGGCTGGCCCCGGGGGGCTCAGGCCTCCGTAGCTGTCAGCCTCCCATAGTGTCTGGTACCCAGCAATTTCAGCAGCTCCTTCCGAGACAATGGGCTCGCAGAATCTATTCATGGACAGAACCAGAGTCATCTCTGACAGCCTCAGATCTGAAAAAAGAAAAAAAAAAAGAAAAGAGCCCTAATCAAGAGCAAGCCAGGGCACGGCCTTGGCATCTCCCTTCCTTTGCTTTGGGAAACTTTTACTTCTTGCTCCTCCTCTTTGCCCTGAAACATTTTATTATTTTTTTCAAAGAAAAATGTCAGTAAACTCTCTTGCAGCTATTAGCTCAGCCTCTGTGTTCAGCAATCTGCATTTCATGGGCGGATCTTTAAAACCCCATTTCTTATTGTTCTCAGATTCCCCTCAGCCCTCTTCCAGACAGCTGCTTTGCCTTCTAAACACATTTTCCTCTGACCTTCCCGCAGAAAATGCACCGCTAAGAGGCAAGGCCAAAACCCTTGCCGCTTCCTTTCTATTAATAAGGCAAAATCAATTTTCTAGTCAAGTCCCCCGAGAGTCTCCTTTGATGAAATCCACTAATCAATCAAAAGAAAAGGCTGGGGGAGGCAGGAATCTTCACCGGAATTCCATCTGATGCTCTCAGGTTTGGTCTGTTCCACGTGCCCATGGCCCCCTCTTCCTCGGTTTCCGCAGGGCCAGTTCCCCTACAACATGTTGGGGCTCCCTCCACTTTCTTCTCCCAAAGCGAAGCAGACAGAGACACACTTGGTAGTTGTTTCCACCAGCCCTGATCGGCCTGAACTGGATCTGCCTCCAGTCAAAACACTGAGAGATGAAGACAGAAAATTGGCTCCAGTTTCCAGCCGTGAGTTGCAGTCCCACCGGAGCCAAGCACAACATCCACAGAGCAGGCGGAATATTAAACAGGAGCCAGGGCTCCGGGGCCAGAGGCAGCCGGCAACTCTGCACCACGAAGCTCGACGCAAAGCAGAAACTTTCCAGGAGGCAGCACACCACTGCCCTCCGGTGCAGTTCACGCCCTTCCCTGGGGCCTGCGGGAGACTGGGAGGCCTCTCTGCTCTTAAGGTGCGCCCTGGGCTGCTCTGCACCTGGGGTGCTAGGGCGGTTCCCCTGGGGGTTCAGTGTCTTTACCTGGTCCGAAGTAGGGCTTGAGGTGGGGTCCAGAGTGAGTGCAAGGGGGAAGAAGCCCAAACACCTCGGGGCCAGAGATCGGGGTGACAGCTGAGCAGCCTCAGTGCCTTATTAACCGCCCGATTCCTTTGAGACCCAAACATCCACTCTCTCACTTTGCCATTTAAAGAACTGTCACAAAGAGTGATGTCAAGGTCTGCTCTCTTGAAGACTGATCTGTGTTTGAAAGACGCTAAGGGTCTAGTTCTTGCTTTCTTCTCCAAATTATACAGCTTGTAATGTTTGGGGGGTAAGGATAATCTACTATTGTCTTGTAGGAGACTGTTATTACCTACATGTTAAAACAAGGGTCCACTTCCAGGTAAAGGAGGAAGGGCATCAGGGGAAGGGGAAATAGCTTAAGTGGAAGTGTCCTGGCTATCCGAGAAGCTCTTGGCAGCAGTGACTCCATCCATCACCCAGGTTTCTCTCTGAGACCTGAAATTCTTTCCCAACCTCACTGAAGGAAGCCCGGCCTTCTGACATACAGGGGAGATGTCCAGGTCAGGGTCGACAATGAGGACTCAGCTGATCTGGGCTGCTAAACCACCTTTGTTGTTCAGTCACCCAGTCGGGCCCGACTTTTTGTGACCCATGGACTGCAGCAAGCCAGGCCTCCCTGTCTGAACCACCTAACCCTTTTCTTTTAAAAGTAGTAGCAAGGACTTGTTGGAAAACCTTATTTCAAGAAAAAAAAAAGTTCTGTAAAAAGAAATGGTCAGACATGCCATTTATTCTGTTGAGTCATCAATCAAGAAATTTAGACCACACTGATTTCACAAACTAAGCCATTCTATCACCCAATAGAACGGATGCTCAAACTCAGCATCCAAACAAGGTATCAAGCCTCATGATAATCTGTTCCCTGGAAGACTCTCATGAAATGGTCCCATTTCTTACCCTATTCTAAGAGACAGTTGTTATCAGGAAGTGCTACTGCCAGGAGCACAAGAATTATAGAGCTTTTTCTCAGAGTCCATAACCATGTCTCATTGACTGCAACTGTTAATTTCTCGATTGAAATTTACACTCACTTTTGTGTTGGATTCTGGGAATAAGAGCCACATTTTTTGCCTATGTGGAAATTTTATTACATATAAACTAAAGCAGGTTGACAAATCCATACCCGGTAAGACAAGAGAAACATTTGCAGGCCCCTAGCAGCAATTACCTTTGTTTAATAGGACATTATATGGGCCCTGTGCCGTTTTATGTTAGTAGGAGTTTGTTTATATTTTAATGACTTATCCTTGTATAGTTTTTTGGTTAAGGATTTCAGTGTTTCTTTTTGTTAGTATTGTTTCCGGCACATGAAATTCTACTCTTATGCATTTGAGCTTGAATCATGGCATAATAGTTTTTATCTTGGCTGTTTCTTCCTTTTATACTATCTAGTTTCAGTAAGTTTTTTTTTTTTTTTTTAAATGGGAAACTTTTACACACAACATCCTCAATTGGAAAGGCTGAGTTCCACAAGTACTTTATATAAGTCTGAATAAAATATAAATAAGTTGGAATTATTTGGGAGCAGGGAGGAGATTTTGCAGTTGAGTCTTCCTAGTCTATTTAGAACTCACTGGGATGTTAGCAGATTAAGGAGGCAAGTTCAATGTTCATGATGAATTGGAGAATGGGGCACTCAGCCATGATATTGCATGATCGTTTTATTTGTATTTTGTGTACACATCCGAACTGTCATTTTTTCCCTCAGTACAATGAGATTTACATTGTAATTCTGCTACTGAGTTCAGAAGTTGAAATTCACAAATTTATGAGCTGTGAATACTAGATACAGTCACAGAGATGCACATTTATGATAGATTTTGTTTTTCTAACATCAGAGGTGAGTGGATGCAAAAGAAAGGTATTAAAGTGTGTCTTGTCTATAAGAGGGTTTAAAAAATAAAAACTAGAAAGCCCTTAATCTTTTCTCCTCAGGCTCCTGCATGTCTGTTTTGTCAGCCAAGGGAAGGTAGCAGAATGACACCTCAAGCATTCCCTAAAGGCCGAGGGCTAAAGTGTCAAGTTTTGCCAGCAAATGTTCACAGTAAAGTTACCAGGCGGTTTTACACACTATGGTTCTTCCAGATGAGTTGGGCTGCTTCTCTCCTTGGAGCCATTATGATGCTAATAGGAGTGGCTGGCACAGAGAACAGGGTAGCTGCAGATTCAGTGATGCCTGCCATCCAACAGGGGATCTCAGTCATGCTTTGCCCACCCCATCCCTCTCATTCATCATTGGAAAACATTTTATTAAGAGCATTAGAGCAGTTCAGAGGTCTAACTCCAATATTGAAAAGCATGGAAATAAAGAGCTGATATTTTCAATATATCTTTGAAGTTGTCAGTCTTAGATATCCTGCCCAGGTGGAATCAAGCCCTTGATCTGACATTGTCCCTAACAAGCTATCAACAGCTTAGGTTGGTGGTGGCAGGGTTTGGGTGAGTGGAATAAAATCTTTCAATCCTTCCAAATAGGCAGATGTCGCTTTTCTACCAGTCCCTGCAGTACACCTGTCTGCCCTGGGAGATACATTTCTCAGCTGCAGCTCTGAAAGGCCAAGAGATTTAGGTCGGATCCTGGGGTTGGGAATGGGGGTGCCAAACCAGAGGGGGATGAGGGTGGGGGTCCAAGCCCAGCCCGGGGCGCCAGGTCTCCCCATCCCACGCCCAAGACTGGGGGTCTGAGGTTTGGAGACCCACCCCCCTGCAGGCGGGCAGCAGCCGACGTTCCCACAGTGACACACCCCGGGGGTCGGGGGCCCTAGCCCAAGCCCCTCTGGGGGAAAAGCCGGCAGAGCTCCGCCGGCCGTCGGCCGCGGGAGAAAGTAAACACCACCCCAAGTGTCTGGGAACAAAGGCAAGTTGTCTCCACGGTGCTGGAGCCGTGCGCCTCTCCTGAAGAATAAGAGCTGTGATTACTCTTTCTTTTCTTCTTCTTTTTTTTTTAAACCAAGTTTCCTTCTAAGGGAAATAAACACCAAAGGTAGGATTCCAAGGAAATGACTCACGGCGGTTGGCAGGGCTCTGGCGAGGCTGGCCCCGGCCCGCGCTCCAGCCCGCAGCAGATGCCTGCCCGGCCCTCCCTTCCCTCGCCGGCCAAACCCGCCCGGAGCCCCGGGGCTGCGGGAGCGCCCTCCGCCTCAGCGGGGCCCGAGCGGCCAGGAGTCGGCCGGCGCCTCCCGCCCGGCCCGCGCCACCCTCGGCCCGCGCGGCCGNGGCCCGGCCTCTCCGCCCCCGGCCGCCGCCCGCGCCCAGCCCGGCTCTTACCGCGGGGTCAGCCGGGAGGCGGCGGCGGCGGCCGCGGCGCTCGAGCTGCTGCTGGCCCGCTCCGGGCTCGGCGCCAGCCCGGCCGCCGGTGCACACTCCGCGCGCTCGGGGCCCGGCCCGGTCCGGTCCGGGGAGGCGCGGGTGCTGGTGCTGGTGGCGGCCGCGGGTGCGCGGCGGGCGAGGGTCCCGGCAGGTCCCGCCGCCGCGACTGGGGCGCCGCGCCGCCGTCGCTGCAGACGGTTATGGTAATGAGCGGCTCTGTCTAGCGAGAAGCGTGTGAAACCCGTCAATCCTGTTTGCCATTTCCCCGTGGATTTCCGAGGAGAGGTTCTGCACGATGCCCCCAGGGTGAGCGAGGCAACATGACAAGCGCGCCCGCTCGCCTCCCTCCTTCCCTCCCTCCCGCCGCCGCCGCCGCTCCTTCGGCAGCACACGGGGCGCCCTCCCCTCGCCCCCACCCCAGCCCGCCCCCTGCCTCCTTCCCTCCTTCCCGCCCTCCCGTCCCTCCTCTCCCCTCCCCTCCCGGTGCCCGAGGACACGCGGGCCCAGCTCCAGCCCGCAGCCCCGACCCCACGAGCTCCCGGGCTCTGGCCCCTTCGCCCTGGGGGGCTTGGCTGCAGCCGAAGAATATATTCACCCTGCAACCTTCTGAGATGTCTTCTCTCTTTTTAAAAAATTTGGTTTACTTTTGTTGTTGTTGTGTATGCGTGTGATTAAGAAAAAAAAGATTCTGCGCCTTTCCCACCCTTTGCAGACTTTCTTCTCCTTTGCCACAGCAAACGGAGATGAGAAACAGCTGTCTTTGCAGGACCAGAGCAGTTCTCCCCTCGCCGCCCGCCCCCGCCCGTCCCCGCCGGAGCTGTGTGTAGTGTATCAAAAAAGCAACCTTGGTCCGACTGCAACTGGAATTGGCAACTCTTTCTGGGTGGGGGAGCCTTCAGGGAAAACCTCCAGGAAAAAAAAGAAAAAAGTAATAAAGGAGGCTGTCCTTGGTCAAAAGAATGTAATATAAGCCCCGGAATCACATTATTTTGCAAATAGTAATTTTCCTCTATATTGGGCTCCACTGGAGTTTGTTTTTTTTTTTCAAACATTAATTCATAACTTCTGTCTAGGGACCCCTCCATAGTCGAGATGGGTCATTTCAGGTGCAATGAACGCAGAGGCTTGGAAGGCAAAGACCTAATAAAATGGGGGGAAGGCACCTGCGCAGAAGTGTTACAAAGACTATAATGTTTGTTTACTGCTACTATGCCAGATGTGCTAAATATAACACTTCTTTAAAACAGTGATCCTCCGACTGTGAAAAACCAAACCTCTTGCTGCCTGGCTCCCTAGGAATCAAGAAGAGGCACAGACTGAAAATCAGGGAGGAAAGGAACAAGATCAAGGATGAGGATTAGCATCTGCAAATTGAACCCTATCTAATTTGCATGTTTATTTCTTAGAATTGTAATTAAATTTGTGTAATAAATGTTTTCCATTTCATTCCTATGCTTAAAATTTGGGTGACTGACATGCAGTTAAATGAATTTTTTTTCTTAAAGCAAATGTAGTTTATTCAATAAAGCAGCAAACAAATATTAAACATAATTAGAACTAATCTGCTTTGAAGGTATTTTTGTTGAACTTTGTACATTAAAGACTCTCAGAGGTTTTAAGGGTATTAGGAAGCTGAGAGAAGGCAATTATGCTGAAAACAGACTAACTCAACAGACTTCCAGGAGCACTATTTCATTTTTTTCCAAAAAGATGTTTCAGAGTTGCAAGCCTAAAACTGGGAATTGGGCACCCATCTTGGCTTTATCCTGAACCAGATTAAATTGCATTGGGTGATGCATGTATAGGCCATTATGATGATGATTTAAGAATTGTAAACATTCTATGGGTTAGAATGTAATTTTCATTTCAGTGAGGAGAGAGGGTAAGGAAAGACACAAGGGCATTTAAAGCAGTCCAAGTACTTGAAAATCTATATCAGTGTCTAACTCAAAGAACTAAATGTGAGGGCTTGGAGGCATGGCTTATTATTGTTTTTATCTCGCTATATTAAAGTTTTATAGCATTTAAAGGACTATGGGGAAATCCCCACATACCCTTGGCTGCGTCAAAATGCATACAACCAAAAGGAGCAAATTAAGCATAAAATTGAGAAATAACACGAGACCTAAGAATCAGCATGGGTTGCTCTGGCATCTTTGGAGCCTTGGCTCTGAGAAATGAGCCTTCTGGGAAACTGGCATTGCCCTTGAGTGGGGAGGACTCTTGGCTTTAATGTTATAAAAAATGACATCATAACAGAAATATGAAATCATTTTACTTCACAGTACCCTTGTGGTTCTGAGTATGAACTTGACCCTGTCTTGTTCAGATATGTTAGGTTAGCATGTTTTACTGAAAGCTTTTCCTGGTTTCCTTTTAATCTCAAGCTTAATGTTCGTCGAGATTTGGTGCTCAACTGTTGACAACATGAACTAATGTCTACAAGTAGAGGAGGCAGTCAAATGTCCGTGGAACGAGAAACATCATTTAAAAATTTAAAGTGAGTAAGTGGTGGCTATGGCACAAGGAAAAGACTCGCTATAAATCAATAATGAAATATTTGGAATGAGTGAATGTAATTTATGAGTTGAAATATTCAACCTGAGAGCTATGATGTCATCATTCTTGGATGGGGGTGTGTGTGTGTATGAAGTTCCAAGACAGAAGTTTGATTATGAAACTTAAAATATCTTGAGCTGCAAATTCACTGAAGACTGATTGTTTTTTCTCAGTGAACAAAGAGAGTGCCAGACTTAAAACTGCTGAAATTCATTTCTCAAAAACTTGTCATTTGAAAGGGGAATTTCTCAAGTAAAATTTGACATATTCAGATTACCATGGACACAGTGCCCACTTGGGTTATAAGAAGTATGAATTACTGGCATTTTTTAAGTGCAATCTTTTTTTTATTTTAACAACAAAAAGAAGTATCTAATATTAAGTCTCTCCAATTCCTCTTCTCTTAGTCTCAAACCCTTTCTAATTAGGCTTTCTTATCCCATTGCTCTATTGAAACTATCACTGTCAATGACATCAGTGACCTCCACATTGCTAAATCCAAAGGGCTTTTCTTGGTTCTCATCTTTCTTGACCTGTAAACAGCGTTTGAACAAGTTGATCACTCTGTCTTCCTTGAAGACTTTATTCTGTTTCCAGGACAACATACCCACCTGGTTTCCCTCCCACTTTACTGCTTCTTCCTTCTCAGTCTGTTTTGCTGATTCTCTGTGACCTCTGAAAGCCCAGTCATTGAACCTTGTCTCTTCTTGAAACCACTCTTGTGTGGAAAACCCTCAGTCTCAAGGTTTCAAATACTGTCTATATTTTAATGACTCAGAAGTTTAGATATCTAGTGGAGATCTTTCTCTTGATCTCCAGACTCCACTTAGATGTTTAAAGACATCAGAAGATTTACAGATCCAAAACAAAATCCCTAGTTGTCTCCGTTCCCCCAATTATACCTTCCTTAATAATCTCCACTCCAGTTAATAAACCATACTATACTGTGGAGTCATCCTTGACATTGTTTTCCTTTACACCGTATATCTGACATACCCCCAAATCCTTAAGGTTCTAGCTTTAATGTTTTTCTAGAGGTTTCCCAGGTAGCGCAGTGGTAAAGACTGCCTGCCAATGCAGGAGACACAAGAGACGTTGAGTTGGGATCTTCCTGGGTTGGGAAGATCCTTTGGAGTAGGAAATGGCAAACCACTCCAGTATTTTTGCCTGGAAAATTTCATGCACAGAGAAGCCTGGCAGGCCACAGTCTATGGGTGGTAAAAGAGTCAGACCTGACTGAGCGACTGAACACACACATACAGACTCTGATGACTTCTCATTATCTCTGCTGCCACCATCCTGGGCCAAGCCACCATCATCAGTCTTGCCTGGGATATTCCAATAGCTTCCTTCCTGGTCTCCCTGCTTCAGTCTTTTGTCATTTCTATATTCAATCCCAGCCCAAGAGCCGATGATGTCAATGTTTGCTCAGACTCTTCCTAAATGCTCTCCATTTCACTCAGTGTAAAAACCACATCTTCACAGTGGCCTACACAGGCTGAAAGTCTCCCTTTACTTCCCTGACCCCACTCTCTCCAGCCACTTTGGCTTTAGGATGTCAGGCCTTGCTTTTACCTTAGGACAGTTGCACTGGCTATCCCCTCTGTCTGGAATACTCCTTCCCCAGATAGATGCATGGATCTGTGCTCTTCCTTTTCCAGGTCTTTGCTCAAATATCACCTTAACAAAGCCTGACCACTCTGCTCAAAATTCTAACACTTCGTCTCCATATCTTGTTTTATTTTCATCCAGAGAATTTATCACCTTCTAATAAGCTCTGTATTTTATTTATTTATTCTATTTGTCACTATCTCTTCTCACTAAAAAGGTCCTTGAGGGCAGGGCATTTTGTCTGTTTCATTCACCTGTCTCCAGCACCTGGCACAATGCTTGGAGTACTGAAAGCACTCCAGAAGTATTGACTGATTAATTGAGCAGTTGACTGACAGTTTCACATGTGTCCAGAGACCCAAACGAGGCTAAAACAGAGCTACATTA